ATTTTCAGTTCGCTTGCTTTTTCCTTGTGTGTTGACAGAGCATGGTAGAAGTAACATCGCCGAAAACGGACGAAACTATTAACTCTATTGTAATTATAGCGATATATAAACTGGCGCGGAGATCGACGCGCGAAAAACGCACGGAATTTGGCGAAGATGTGAAATTAAGACGCTACTACTACTGTTACTACCAATTTCTAAGTTTGTGTTGATTACTTTATTCCTTTTTATATCCTTACATAAGTTTGCATTGAGAAATGCACAAAATTCTTTTTATAAATTTGACGAAATCTGAGAATGCTGTAATTCCGGCTCTTAAGGAATAATAATCCGAAAGGAAATATAAAGAGAAACCAAAAGTTACCGTAAAAAATGGCAAAATTATTCTTTCGAAATTTAAAAGATGTTGTGGTTACATCGGAATTCGAATTATGAAACATTCAGTTCGATAGATAAAAGTGCTAGGCCCGATAAAGTTGAACTGCATCGACTTCGGACGCTAATCACGCGAGAAAAGTAACGTGAAAACAAAATTGTCGATGCAATTCGTCGGCGACGAGATAAGATTCAATCGATATGTCAGTGGTACAGAATGCACAGAAATGGACGTCAAATGCACGGAGACGGTGAATACAAAAATTGGATTGGTCGCAGAGTCTGGAATACATGAGTCTCGTGTAAAATATTGATTGAACTTTTCTGTGGTCATTGCTTCTCGATATTTTCACTTCTTCAGCAAGTACACATGTTCTCCCTCGCTCGTTTGAACTACCAGTGTGAAAAGTTGAAAGAATTATGGTCAAGAAAACAATTTTTTCATTAAATTCTACTATAATCTTAATAATAATAACCTTATATGCATGCTACTGCTACCATTTTCGTGTTGAAACAACCAAAAAATATGACTGAAGCCAAAAATAAATATAATTTTAGTTAGATCGACCATTTTTTTTCTAAGTGTATAGCAAGTTTCAAAATCTGTCAAAAAAATGTTTGTCATTTTTCAAAGATATCAGAACGACCGACAGAATTTCTTCTTTCGAATTGTTTTGTACTTTTTTCGTATGAGGGATTTGCAAAGTCCGTAAAAGAAGTGACTTTGGCATTTTTTATTATATGTGATACAGTATAATTTATGACAAAAGGAAATTCTCGAAACATTATGCACGATTCCGATCATTCCCTTTATTTTTTATTTGTTACATAAAAATTTACGAATGAACGCATTCCGCCTCGTTTATCAAAACGCGGCTTCTTCACAAAATGTGTCTGCGCGTAGACAAATTAAATGGCGATGACCAGCAATTTGTAGAGCTCAATGAGCATAACTAAGTAATTCGTCCAGACACCAGGTCGATCTATTCGAAACCGTTAATTTCATCGAGTAATAACACTCTAGTGCATTCGAACCCGACAGGGCACCTCTGTCAAATTGCCGAGTGTGGACGTGGTAATTTCGTTAGCGGAAACGCCCCTTTCCGGTTGTTTCTTCAAACGTTAACGATCGGACCGAAAACTTGGAAGATCCTTTTAACACGTCAACAGGAAAAACGTTGATACAATTACTCTCGTGCAATCGATCGTCATTCGACCACACGATGATATTAGCAAGCGCACTGACTATTGCGCATAAACATAACTGCGAATACCTCATAGTTAATTACAAATTTTTGCTCGACTATTTTTCTTATTTATCGATCTAGCTTCATCAGCAATCAACACCTACGTCTTCGATAGCTAACTATTAATGCTGTCAATATAAACTGGATATTTATATTCTAGGTATTCGGAGTAACACTCAGGTACTGAAATTTTTTATAGTTATAAATAACTAGGGAAATATCCAGATATCTAAACTCACAGATACTACTCAGACAACAAATACTACTTCTAGATGCCCGAAATCAAACGTTTTTTTATTGGAATCATATATTTTTCTTTATATAAATACGCACCCTCCAATCTATGTATAAGAATATTTACGTAAAATCAACAAAAAGTAAATACTTTGTTGGACATTTTACGTTTTATTTTGCAATTTTCTAATATAAGAACTAAGTGTTCAATGAAATATTTACTATTTGCGTGAACTTTACTTTAATATTTACCTTGATATATATATGAGCACACATAAAATGACTCCAAGAATAAATAATGAAAAAAATAACCAGACATTCTCGAGTACTTGGATACACGGATAATACATGGATATCCAACGCAGCGACCCTTACAGATCAAATAATTAAGCGGATCAAATTACTGTTTTTTTTTTTATTCAAGGCGGCAATAAACACGGAAGAAGGAAGATCAAAGGAAGAAAATAAATTTAAGTTCTCGCAGTATAACTGCGATGAGCTGCGCGGTAGCGGATTAATTAACAGCCTCTTGACAGCCGTATGAAATTCGTAAACCACGGACTTACGACGATACGGGAAGACGTTGAGGCGCCTAAGTAACTCGCGAATCCCGTCAAAGAGGGACAAAGACACGCGCGCAGGAATAAAGAGCACGAGGGAGTCGGAGTGAGGCGGGGTGAGCGATAGACGGGGAGAAAGACGCCGTTCTCTCCCTACCTCTCTCTCCGCGCAAAAATATCCCCGTTAACGATTATCAGCCCCTCTTTCCGTCTCGCGTCTCGTTATATTGTGTCCCCGTCGCGCGCGCAAATTTAGAAACAAAAGACGGGTGGAAGGCGCGTCCCGATTGGCCGACCGGTCCCTGGCTCCTCTCTCTGATTGGCTCGCGGGACCGCACCCATCCTGTAATGGCCGCTTTGTCGTTCCACGGCGCTCTGTGTGTACGCGCCTGCACGCTTCAGGCAGCCTCGACAACCCCGTACCGTCACGATCCCCAACCCCCGCCAACCACCCTACTCCTACTTGGCCCACCGACCACCCCCGCCGCTCGCGGCGGCCGCCCTCCGTACCTCGAATTATATCAAAATATAATCACGGGCTGCATCGCATCGCGTACACACGAGCTCACGTGCAACGTGTATGTGTGTGTGTATAGATGGGTGAATGCGCGTGTGTCGGCTGCGTGCACGTGTGAATATCTGTATGCAAGGAACGCTCATTCACTTACGTACACGCGGAGGAGTCGTGGCCCGCGGGCCATTTTCTCCCGCTACGTACTTCCTCTCTCCCTCTCCCTCCTCCTCCTCCTCCTCCTCCTCCCTCCTACGTCGTCCTGCCCTCCTCTTCCTAGTCTACGACGCGAATCGACAAGCGTGATAAGTTAACGACGGTGTGGAGGGAGGGAGTGGACGAGCGGCGTGTGAGGGGACCCTCTTAGTTGAATCCACTCGGCCACCTCTGACGTGCGATATGTACGAGTCGCGCTAATGCGCGTGCACACGCACGTGATCGCGCGACGTCGAGGGTGAGAGCCGCCGCATGCCGTGACACTCGGCGTAGGTGCTCCCCCGTTGTCTCTCTCACCCCCGTCGCCGCCGCCGCACCCACCGGTACGAATGGAGAGGCGCAGAGGTCCAGATTTTCGGCGAGTTTTCGGGATGTACGTCGAGCCCTTCAACGTCGGCCATGATACGCGGTAGAATTAACGAGACCAACGAGCGTTGAAGCTTTCATCGGTCACACTTAGTCTCGGCTGACAAGTTTCTTTAAACAATACCATCGAGTAATGATGTCAATTTTTTACATACGGATATATAAGGCATTATTTAGGTGTCTCACATTTTACCAGAGTATATTTGCGCATTCATTATTTCTTCTTATTTATTCTTCAAGCCATTCTACAAACAGTAGATATTTTACGAAACTTTCATATCGAAACATGTCAGATTAAAATATGAAATGTCTGGCAAAATATTATTTTTTTACGTCGTCTTAATATTTTTATGCGCAAGTTGAAAAGAAAGATACATTTATGTAAAGAAAAATATAGGTTAAAAAAATTTGTTTTATTTCGATTCCAGACATTCAAAGCGGTAATCGTGAATTTACCTTAACATCTAAGTAATCGTGAATTTGTGTACCCGAGTACTATACGAGTACCTGAGTTCTACTGACAGCAGTATTTTAATGTATCTTTGCTCGACATTTTTTAATTATTTTACAGTTCGCAGACTTTCTCTCGAACCGTAACGAGAGAGACCTCAAGGACAATAAAAAGTTATCTCCGTAATAAGTACTGCAATACACGGTGTTCTTTGCACTACGCGCTCCAAGCAAAAACAGATGCCGACTGGTTATTCTTTTAACCGCGTCCAATTTCAGCGAGTCTAACACTGAATTCTTTTATCGCGTTCACTGCGCAACAACACATCGAAGAAAAACAGTTCAAACTCCAGCCATCTTTTTGCTCCGTGACGCGGATCTCGTCGTGGCACTCGCGATGACCTCCCACTTACGTGCCATTTGCTCGTCGGAACTGTCCCAAGGAGGTTCCGACCACAATGGTCGGGATGAAAGATACAACGCTTCGTGCATCTTTCACACCTTTCTTGCATTAGACACCACGCGGGTGTGTTGCTCCAAGGCGTGTAATAGAGCAGAATGGACGAGGAGCTGGTGCATAGAAAAAGACGGCTGCGACAGAGAATTCAGAGAACGAGAGGCGTAACGAGAAACAAGGGGGTGTAAAGAGAGGATGTCGCAAGAGAGAGTGAAAGAGAGAGAGAGAGAGAAAGAGAGGGCGAGAAGGTGGGAGGAGATGTGAAAAAGAGAAAGAGGACTTGTTGTGAGTCCGCCATGCAGAAAGCGATCTCGGCCTGTTGCTTGATGAATCCGCTGTAACTAACTATCAACTTCGTGAAATTCTCTCTCTTTCACAGTCGCGGCTTTTGGCCATCGCCATGTTTCAGCTCTCTGGACGACGAAGCGCCGGCTATCAAAAAAAGTCACCCCCGCCAAGCCCGCGCGCGCACACGTATGTGTGTGTGTGCGATGTCGCGCACTCGATTTCGCCGTTTTCATCGCCATCTCAAATTATCGGGAACACGTCGATACGCGGATAGAGCTCTGTTAGCTTTCGCTCACCTGTATCCTGTCCTCGGGTAGATCGGTCCTCAGACTCAGCATCTCGCGGGCGTAGACGTCCGGGTAATGGGCCTCTTTGAAGGCTGCCTCCAGCTCCTCCAGCTGTTGTGACGTGAAGATCGTCCTGGAGCAACAACCACATGAACCTAGTTATATGCCATTACAGCTTTTCTCTTAAAACTACCCTACGCCCGCATCGCGCGTGCCGAATCATACGTTCTCCCGCGTATGTGTCGTACCGGACTGATCGGATTAGTCGAATCAGTTCCTGACTAGAACCGCCTAAAACTAGAAAGCAGCTGAATCAAACGACCTCTTATCACGATTAACCACACGCAGAAAAGTACATACTGCACTCAAGCTTGTTTCAAACGTCTCGTAAGTTTATATATCCGCAGATGTATCGTCATAAGCATCAAATTTATTCAAGACACATTCTAACATTCTAACAATTTAGCATTGTTAGGTCTTAACAAGTTTAGCATTTCAACGAAGAATATCAAATAAAAGTCAAAATTCGGTTTACTAACCACGTAGAGTTAAATCAACTTTTCCCTTGACAAAATTTCACGATATTCTTGTAAAGAAAATAAATCCTTCTTCTGAGTAGACGATGGTAAACTTTCCTCAAATTTGTAATGAGTACATTCAGGGAGAAGATATTCTCTGTTGAAGTTATTCATACCTCAAAGAAGACAAGTAACCGAAGTAATTTCTTTTCCCGACAGTAGAATGATAGAATATTTTTCCGCGTGCGCGCGAGTTAGCGTTTGAGCTGAACCGCTGGAATCTTGAAATAGAGATTCGCAAACGGCATTATTCACAGGCACTGCGTCGACCAACAGTCTCTTCCTTTTGAGGGGCCGCGAGGTGTGTCGGTAAAAACGTCGATAAAAATGTCTCGCTATTCAGCGCCGACTGATTATTCGAATTACGTCGCTTCCTCAAGATAAACCTCACACGCGCGGAAACACACTCAACAGAGGCAATTAACAATGTCATAATGATCTCTGCGCAATCGTGCGGAATGTTCGCGTCGCAAAACATATCCGAGAGCAGCCTCCGCCGGCGCGGTGGCCGCGCGCAATGATAAACGTTATTTCATCTCCACCCGCGCTGTTAAATTATCCGAACGTGACGGTAATAATGTCAACGTTCAGTCTGGGCGCACCGGACGCGCACGAGAACAAAGACGCTGTTTTCTGTCGACGGCGTCTTCGCCATTATTGATCGTCGAGCTGTTAATCGAATCATCGTCGCGCGATAATGCTCGCGAGGCCGTTCTTCGTCTCGTTAGCGCATCGAATCCGCATCGACGTCGTCGCTAAACACCGCGAGTGGCCGCGCGGCTGTATCCCTCCCCCCGCCATTAGCTCGCAATTAGTTGCAAACGCGGGTATATAACGCGCGTCCACTCCGTCGTGTATGTAAATACGAGAGACCGAGGCGCACGTCGGTAACCGATGATTATCCCGCATCTTTCCCCGTTCTTTTTTCCTTCTCTTTCTTCCCTTCTTTTTTCCTTCCCTCCCCTCCCCCCCTCTCTCTCTCTCTCTCTCGTAAAAGCGAGATGCGTAACTGCGTCCGTCGATGCGTTCGCGCCGCGATGAACGGTGCTCGACGAGCGTCGGACGAGCGGATTGCCGGATCTCCCCTGCCTCGGGAGGCGAAGGAAGGCGCATACGCGCGTGATACGACAGAAAGCGGAGAAGCGAATTTGACGGCAAGACGTCCAATTAGTCTTGCGACTCGACAAATTGTAGGTTGCGTCGGGGCGAGAGCGAGCTGGCGTCTCTGCCTTTGTGGGCCGTACGAAAGCTCCGAAACTGAAAGTCATTTCCCGGACGATCATCGGCTCGTTAGGCGGACACGCGAAAATCGCCGCGGTTTTCAGCGCGCGCGCGCGCGCGCGCTTAAAGCCGTCTCGCGTAATCGTCTCGGATTCCGCCGGATTCGCGGATTGATTTCCCGATCCTGCGAATCCGGCCGTCGCCGCCGTCGCTTTGCGGCCAACATCGAACACGCTCGTTCCGAGGTCGAGGGAGAGCTTCGCCGGAACGGGAGATCCGCGGCAACGTCAGGGAATAATCGTGGCGAATGTAACGCGCGCGCGCGCGCGCGCTCTGTGTGTTTTTAATTATTGCGGTTAGAGACGAGACGTTTAAATCGTTGCCACGTAATAAAAAGAAAGAGAGAGAGAGAGAGAGAGAAAAAACTATTTGCTTGTTACGCTCGGCCGCGCGCGCGCGGAGTATAATTACATTTCGCTTCTGAATTAGTCCCTTTCATGTTAAAATGACTGCGCGCGTTTGTCAAACGCAAAAGAATGCGCGCAATTACGGCTGTACCGCGGCCTGGCCGATGTTGCTATAAATAACGAGATAATTCTCTATCGGTTGTTCGGATCTTCAAATAGGAATTAATTCGCGCAGCTGCACGCTAAATGCACGCTAAATGCACGCTAGCCGGTCGGTTAGTCGGTTAATGTTAAGCGCGCGTTATATGACGAATCTGCAAGCGACGTCGCGCTCGTTTAGCGCAACGATTAATCCGCGGACGACCGGCGTCGAGAGTAATTAGGTTCTAATGCAGAAGATACCGCTATTTCGTGTCTCTCGAGCGTATTTGCACGCGCCTCGTGCGACCACAATGAGACGACTTATACCGTTTAATTCGAAGAATGCAATTTAACTCGACGCTCGTTATTGCGCCACGCAATTATCTTGGCGATTGCGTCGAGGAGCTGTTGCATCTCGTATCGGCGATTGCACCGAGCTCATCGAACGAACGAACGAACGAACGAACGAATGAACAGCGCGACGAGGCGAGGTGCAAGATAGAGGGCTTTTGCAATATTTCATTTCGCACGGTGTTTCGAGTCTCGCTCGAATGCCGACAGATTACTTCCCGCCCGCTGCCAAATCCTGCATTTTACCGCGGAACAAAGAGACGAGTCGGAAGCGATCGATGCAGCGGCGATGGCGTCGCGTAAAACGCCGCGGATTTCGAGCTTCGCGCTGATTAGTTATCGCCGAGATAGCTGTGCGTATTCGAATCGGGGTCGATTGAAATAGTCGAGTGACTCTGTTCCTCAATTTCCGAGCGCATCGGCGACGAGAGACACGAGAGGAGGAAAAAGGGTAGGGCGAGGAGAAGCAAAGTTTCTGTCAGAGACTCACCTATGACGGCGTTTCTTCTTCTTCTTTTTGCTGAAACCCGAGAGCCCGTCCACCGTGAAGTCCTTGCCCGACTCTATGTTGTGCCCGACACCTGTAACAACAGAGAAGCAGATCGAGGGTATTCTCTCGCTGTAATCGCGCGACGATCTTACGAAGCTACGGAGTTACGAGGGTTCGCGGCGAGACGGAGAAATTATTATTATTATCACTGATGAAAATCGCGTCGCGATGTTGTTTCGTTAACGCGCGTGTTACGACGACAAAGAGCACGCGCGTAATCGTGAAACGGAACGATTTCGCGCCGCGAATTAACGGAATTAACGTTCCGCGCGCGCGTTACAAAAATCCACGGGTATTAAATATTAATAACGCGACGATATTAATATTTTAGCGAATCCGCGCGGCTCATTATTTGGTGTATAGAGCATTATCTGTATAATTGATAATTATACGCCCCTGTGTGTTGGAGCGGCGTGCACATTGCGTATCAAATTACCTATTATACCAGACCTGCCAATGATTCGGGCCCCGGATACCTACCCGTTGCGTTGCGTGCCTAAAAGCGAGCGAGTTTTGCATTTCCGTAATTGATTTTTCGTCAATTTATGTTCCACCGCTTCGCGGAAAAAAAAGAGAAAGAGAGAGAAGGCATCCTGGGGAAGCCACGACCTATCGAGCTGGAGTTCAATGCTCTCTCATTATAGATTAATACGCTTTGAAACAACCCGTTCCTTCAGGATTGCGACTCACCGCTTTCTCGCGCGACGAACAATAAATTCGGCATTTTGCAAACGAAGTTCTGTGTGTTTTTCTTGTTGAGAATAACAACGCTACAACACTCGCGAATATTTCACTATTACATTTGGCACATTCGCGTCGCTGTAAACTTTCGCACGCTGATTCGGCTGCCTCGTTACACAGCAGAGGATTTTATAGCGAAAATCGTTAGAGAATTTGGTTATCGAGGAATAGACTGACATTCTGCAGTAATTGACTATCCCTTCACTTCATTGATGCTATTTGCGAAATTTCAGGAACTGCAATATACTGCTAAAAAATTCGTGATATTTCCAGCAAGATTTGCTGTGTGCCTTAGCAGAACAGACCTTACTGACAATCTATTGCGCTATCAGAAACATCAGTGAAAAAAGAAACAATTTATATAAAAAGAAATTTTTTAATATTTTTTTCGCACGTTAACAGCGCTAATTGCGAGAAACGCAGTCGTGTGAAGGCAATCTCACGTCACGGGTCTTGGGAAGATTATAATGAAGGAACGACAATCGAATAGAAATCTTGAAAAATTTTCAAACCTGGCGTCCTCATTATCACAAAAATTACATAAAAAATTATACCTGTTACAAAAAAAAAATTAGTACACATCTTTACACTCTAAGGAGCACAATGAGAATGAGTGCACGTAAATTGTCTACTTCCGCCTGCGCTCGAGTGTCCCGAAACAATCTCACGAAACGTCCACGAGGCGGAAGAGGTTAATTAATAGATCTCTCCTCAGCGCAACACTCGGCGGCGCGCTTGCGATATCTCGTCGGAAAAAATTCGAGCATCGCAATTAGGAGGCTCCTGCGAGTTCTCTTTCTGAAATGGCTGTGTCGCGCGCGTACGCGTATAAACGGCAATTTTTCGTGCGCTGAGCCGAGCGGGCTCGAGAGAGTGCAAGGGGTTGCGAGGGGGTGCGCGGCACAGCGCGGCGCCGAGTTCATCATAAGGGTTGGTCGCCGGTGTGCGCACGGCACTGCGAACAGAAACCGCGGTCCGAAAATAATTATCAATTGTAAATTAATGCCAAATTAACGAGCGAAAAGCAGCCCGGAGCGGCGCCTGTACGCACAATGAAGCTCTTCCCTAAGGGTAACTCTCGTTATACTACTGTTCCCGCTGCCGCCAGCAACGCCGTTGCCGCCACCACCAGGCTAATTAACTAGTAATTAAGAGCTTAATTCCAATTATATGTGTCCCTCGACTAATTGGACCCTGAAACGTTCGCTGACGTCACCATTAGTGCGCGCGAGATCGGTGCGGATTCCCCTTGCTCGGCCGATTTTCCGATGACACTCTTACTTTAAGCGCAAATCGCCCCCAAATCGCGATGTTTCCAGCGAGACTTGCTGTGCTCCTTGGCAGGACAGACCTTACTGACAGTAAGATCTGTTCCTACGGTGACATTAAGGTCTATTCCTACGCTACTAGAGGCACAGTGAAACTGGAAAGAATTTATATAAAAAGAAATGCTTTAATATTCTCTTCGCGCGTTAACAGCCCTAATTGTAACCCCTTGTCCAAAACCTTGCTTTAATTTTTAAGTCGTAAGAAATTGACCAACCACTGATTATTTTTAAAATAATCGACTGTGGTTGGTCAATTTATTGCGGCTTAAAGATTAAAGCAAGATTGTGGACAAAAAGTAAGAAACGCAGTCATGTGAAAATAATTTCGCATGGCAATCGAATAGATTTCTCGGAAAATTTTCAAACCTGGTGTCCCCATTATCACAAAAATTGCATTAAAAATTATACTCGTTAATGCAAAAATCACATTAAAAATTATACTCATTATCCAAAGTGGCCATTTTTCATGCGCGTTTCCCAGTCTACGTTATGAGGTCCCTTCTTAACGCTTACAGTTGACATGGTTATTCGCGTCCTCGTCGCGCACTAAGTAATCGATTACTTGGCGGCAGCACCTCCGAATTATCCTCATTACGCACATGGAGAAAAGTTTGATTGTGTTAACATGAAAAAGTTTGATTGTGTTAACATGAAAAAAGTTTGATTGAGGGACGCATAATTGCCGTGATTGTTATAACGCAAATTTGATCCTAAGAAGCGAAAATTCCGTCTTCTTCGATTAACAAGCGTTGGCTCATTCGTTGGAAACAAACTTCACGTCAACGCAACCCAATCGTCTTTCTCCACGCGGCTCAACGCGATGTCCTCGTGATCGAAGATATACCTCATTCCTTCGCACGAATGTGCATTTTTCTACGTGAATTTCCAAGTCGAAATCTCAGCCATACTTTCGAGACTTGAACTTTCTAACATCTGTATACTCCAAAGAATCAGTGTATGTATTTAATAGAAACTGGAATCTTAGGAACTTAACGCCTCTAAATAGTAGAGAACGCACTTGCAAGTTGAAGATGCTACTTGCAAGTTTCTAAAGAGGATCTCCCGGCAAAGTTAGTAGGTCAAAAGAAGTCGATGCAGGCTTCAGAGTATCAAAGTGAGCGTTAAGCGGAACGCTGAGGCCAAAAGTAGGCCTCAAAACTTCGACTGAGGTTTTCATCGCAGGGAATTCCACGGCCACGTTGCATCCCGCACAGTTGACTCGCTGTATAAACTTTGCTGCACGAGTGCATGCGAATTCACGATTTGTATTCTCGACTGGGAGGGGGGAGGAAAGTGGAAGGCAAGCGAAACGCGTCGCGAGAAGCCCTCCGACAGAGATAACGGCTTCCTTATTATTGTTTATCGTGGATAAACGCAGCCGGGTCTTCACGGGTGAATTATCGCGGCCGATCGCAAGTTATCGCACGATGCACTTGGTCGTTGCACGACTGAGTGCATTTGTACGCGTTGTAAGAACGGAGAAATGGCTAGAGCGAGAGGGAGAGATGAGTCTTGGGCGGGCGAGAGAAAGAGAGAGAGAGAGAGGAAGGAAAAAATAAATATTTCAAGCCCCCCGAGTGCCGCGGCGACGCTTACGGCCTGTGGTATGCATTGTTTTCGGTGCTGTAAAGAGGCCTCTTTACGCCCCCTCCGCCACGTTGCCTTCTTGTTCCGGGTTTTTAAGTGCGCTTATTTACCTCAAAGCGTCGAATCAATCTCCCCGCTTTGCGCCAGAAACACAAATGCCTGCGACCAGGTCGAAAAGCCTCGCGGCTTCTCGCAACGAGGAAATGGAGAAATACCAAAGAGTTATGTAAACAACTTTTTCCGGATACGATAATGATTAACTGGAGCTATGATAACAACGTTGCACATCTGGGCAAATACTGGGCGTGAGAGAAAACGTCTTGAGCGAAAATTTTAGAATATTCAGCACGACGTCCGGCGGCACTAAAGCCACTAATATGACCGTTTTCGGAAAACGTCGAGAGGCCAGCGTTTCCTTTCTCGTTTCTTCTTAGAATAATAAGTAAATCCTCGTATTATCGGCCGTATTATCGTCTGCATCGCCTGCACCTCCGTCGGCAGTTATTTTAATGGCATTCGCTACGACGGACGTTTATGGGAGAGCCGAAAACATCGTATTTCATCCCTGAGTTGTTTTCGTTACCGTCCGCCCGGCCGCGTGGAGGGTGATCGATATCGTGGCGTGTTCTGTCGAGGTAACGGCGCGCGTCGCCTAAGTAGTAGTCCGTAACCGAATCGATTAGTCAAATCTAGTTAGCTATTAAGCGCGTGTGCGTCGACGCGCGCGTCAATACGCGAAGCGTTAGCCGGACCATCTAATTCCTGTCTGCCTGCCTGCCTGCCTGCCCGGACCTAATCCCTTCGCAGCGCCCTACCTACAGAATTTCCCAAAGGGTCGCCGCGAGCGGGCTCTCGAAAAATAATTACTCGTTCGATCTGACAGCGCGGCGGTCTCGCGATCGGCCGAAAAGTGAACGCAGTCGTATTTTCTCGACTTATCTGATAGCCGCACAACGCGGCACGGCCAATTTCGTGTTTAATACAATCGAGGCTCTTCCACGGCGGGAGAATAATTCGGACATTTCAACAACTGCGTTGTGAACGTTCCGCAACGATTGATTTTTATCTCGACGTGGAATGATTCATCCGGGATAATATTTATGATATAATATGATAATATTACACGGAGAGGATAGTTTTCCTTCTTCATATAAATTCTTGGCAATTTTGCTATATTTTCAGTAAGACCGTCCACAGAAACAAATTGTCAATAAGATCTATTTTGTTAAGGAATATAATAAATTTCGCTGGAAACAGATCTCGCTAGAAACATAGCAAGTCTTTTAATAGTATATTTCAGTTACTTAAAAAAAAAGTATGACACATAAAATGAAAGAATAGTCAATTATTGCAGAATGTCCAATGTTTTTTGGTT